GGGCCACCCACAAAATCCATCTTAAGATCCTTAACTTAATTACACATGGAAAGTCCCTTTTGCCATAGAAGGTAATAGTCACAGAGCCTAGGAGTTAGCATATGGATATCTTTGGGGCCCATTATTCAGCCTACCACATTATCCATTATGATACATCCAGGAATTAGTACAAAATATAATTTTAACCAGGATCTTTTAAGAATGTTTCATTTAGAAGGAAGAAGGTGTTTTTGGTTTTGCTATTAATGCAGAAGTTCATTGTTGGCTTTGAATTAACCATTTTCTCTTGCTGATTGCATCATTAGTGGTTTTCTAATAGTATTTCTTTAATTTTATAAGCATATCCTAAAAAGAAGAGTGTTTGTAGCATCTTCTCCTTCTCTATATTTGTAACTTTTTCATAGCATAGTGACCCCTCCTTGGGTTTCCAAGACAGTATCTCTATAGAAATAGGTTGCCCAATCTTTCTTCCAAGGAGTGGCTGATGGCTTTGAACTGCCAGCCTTCTGGTTAGCAGTCAAATGCCTTAGGCACTACGCCACCAGAGCTCTTTTAGGAATTGAGAAATTAGAGAGAAAGGTAAGAGGTTTCCTACAGTTACACACATGCTCAGTTTGGTGGGGACGTACATATTAGGTTAGGTGGGAAATTGGAATAGGACATATTTACAGTAAATCATTTTGGAAAATTTTGTTTTATTATGATTTTGTCACTCATTTTTTGAAAACTATTTGGAGACAATTTCAAACTTAAAGAATAGTTGCAAAAGTAAAAATAAATAAATAAAAATACTACAAAGAACAATTGTATACTCCTTGCTGATTTGTTTATCTGTTGTTCGCATTTTACCCCATTTGCTTTATCTTTTGTTCTGTCTTTCTTTCTATGTTATATTCTGCGTCTTTTATGACACTGGCATTTTTTAAAGTACTGTCTCCCTCTCTTTTTTCTTTTATTTTGAAACCCTTTTTAATGTGTGCTAAAACGGCAAGGAGGCCACATGTTCTGACCTCCTCTAATCCCACAAGAGGAAGACAGGATTACCAGCAGTAACCCAAGGCCTATTCCTACAAGGCCAGACATGCTGCCTCCCTTCAGCCCTTTCTCCAACCGTTCCTCCCAAAGCACTCACCACCTCTCTCCT